CTCTCTCTCTCTCTCTCTCTCTCTCTCTCTTTCTTTCTTCCTTTTTCTCTTTCTCTCTCTTGTTCTGTCTTTTTCTCCATACCTCACTCATTCTCTTTCGCTTTATCTACCTTTATTTCACGCGCGCACACGCGTACACGCACTCACACACAGCTCTCACTCGACCGCTCCCTACCTTCTCTTCATCGTCCTCTCTCTCTTCTTTCTCCTCTTCCGCCTCCTTTTAGTCACAATCAACACATTCCTCGGTTCCCTCTGCCTCACATAATCCTCCCACTCTCTCACTCCTTCCACTCTGCAATCTTTCTTGTTTTATTTTTATTATTATAGGAGTTGTTTCCTGAGCTATATGAGTTATACAGAATGCGTAGCGTAAGAGACACTGGTAAGATCCAGGCATTGCGAGTACATTATGCAAACAAGCTTCAATCGACGCTTTCCATTCGATATTTCGAAGTTTTACTTTCAAATTTCGCGTAAGTATAGTGTAGCGAGTGTACGGAGATTGTCTGTGTTCACGTGAAAATTGCAACTACAGGTGTATTTACATGGTTTTCCTTTTTGGCTTGCTTTTTATTTTGCTATTTCAGCATGGACGGATGCAAATGTTGTTGAGGAGGAGGAGGTCCAGAACTCTGGATGAACAATTGTGGTGGGGGGAGGGTACAAACACTCATACACAAAAAGAAATGTGTCAATGCTCTGTGGATCACAAAACAATCGTTTTAATCACAGACATTGTTGCAGTTTCAAAGGTAATACGTATGGCTTACACACACGCGCGTGCGCGCGCGCGCGCGCGCGTGTGTGTGTGTGTGTGTGTGTGTGTGTGTGTGCGCGCGCGCGTGTGTGTGCGTGCGTGGGTTGGTTTGCGCGCAGTCTGTCGATCGGTCGCTCTTTCTGCTTGCCTGTTTGTATTACTCAACTAAAAACGACGTGCACAACCGCAATGACGCCGTTCATTGTTATCACCTGTCCTATGATGATTTCCTCGCCGCCGCTGCTGCCACCTACATCGTAAACGACGACGTTAACCGTAGTATAATACTTGAGATCATTCGGTTCTGCTGATACGAGGATTGAGAAAGCCTCCTTCCATGTTGGCGACGTTGCTCCCTTCTTGGTTCTCGACTTCTTCATTTGTTCTTTGCCGTGTTGGGATACGAATATTTTAACTTGGGGATCTAGGTATAGATATAAAAGAATATAATGGAAATATAAATCCGAAATTTACACATTATGACAATTATGTAAGTCTACGTAAGATATATACTAGGGTATAGTGCTTCTGAAATGACTATAACCAAATGATACCGCGAACTATACATTTATGCCAAGATGACATAATATTAATATTTTAAAATCTAATATAAGCAGCACGTTTCTATCCTGAAGACGCGTGCGTGACCCAACAGACATATTGGCGTGAAACCAATATTGGCTTCTGAAATGGCTATAACCAAATGATGCCGCGAACTCTTTATATGTATACATTTATGCTAAGATGATCCAATATTAAAAATTTTTAAATCTAATATAAGCAGCATGTCTTTATCCTGAAGACGCGTGCGTGACCACAGACAGGCATATTGGCGCGAAACCAAATGCCTATGTACAGTGGGCATTAATTAAAAGGCAGACGTGCTTAAAGTTATTTGACGGCTTAACGGAAGCTCCTTTCTGTTATACCAGAGTTCGAAGGGCCAACTGCGCTTAATCGTGGCTTGACTGCGACGCTATTGATTTGGAAACCGACTCGTTTGCGCCGCAGAGGCGAACGAACCACGCGTGTTATTATCGCGCGCCAACTTGCACGCAAACTGCACACTAGCCGCATCACATTCCTAAATGCGCTGCGCATAGTGACGATTGTTTACGAATTGCAGCGATCGCGCTATATATGTATTCGTTCGTCGATTTTGCTCGTTCGTTTGTCCGTCCGTCCGTTTGTTCGCTCGTTCGCTCTCCTCGGACTCACTCACTGCATCACACGCCGCACCGCCGACGCACGCACGCAGGTACTCAGTCACTCCTCAACTCATCACTCAATCAATCAATCATCAATCAAGTCAATCAATCATTCAATACAATCACAACTTCTCACTCACTCACTCACTACACTTCAATCACTCACTCACTCATCACTTACACTCACTACTCACTCAATCATCTCATATCATCAACTCATCACTATCATCCTCACTCATCACTCATCACTCATCATCACTCACTCACGTCACTCACTCACACTCCACTCACACTCACACTCACACTAACATTTTCACACTCATACTTCGCTCACGTCACTCACTCCACTCATATCACTCACTGCACACTCACTCACTCGCTCGAACTCAGCCCACTCAATACGCAATATACACTCAATCACCGACAACGAGTGTGTCAATCGGTTCAGTTGGTTTTTTTCACCGGGGGATGCGTTTTTAAAAAGAAATCGAGAGAGTAATGATACCGCTGTTCGCGAGATAGTGATATTTAAATGCCTCTCCGGCTTCCCGGTGTAGTCGAGCTCCACTCTAGGCTAAACGTGGGAAAACAGCAACTACATTCTTGCGATATTCTCGACATTCTGATATAAAACTCTAGTTATGTGTAATATCACTCACTCACTCACTCACTTCGATCACTCACTCACTCACTCACTCACTCACTCACTCACTCACTCACTCACTCACTCACTCACTCACTCACTCACACTCACACTCACACTCACACTCACACTCACATTCACACTCATACTTACGCTCACTCACTCACTCACTCACTCACTCACTCACTCACTCGCTCGCTCACCCACTCAATCGCAAATACACTCAATCACCGACAACGAGTGTTTGCAATCGTTCAGCTTGGTTTTTTCACGGGGATGGTTTTAATAAACTAAATCCGGAGAGCTAGATACCGCCCGTCGCGATATAATTAAATCCCTCTCCGGCTTCCCGGGTAGTCGAGCTCACTCTAGCTAACCGGAGAAAACAGACCTACATCTTGCGATATTTCTCGACATCGTTGGTTATAAAATCATATGTTAATAAATGGACAAAACAACCGGGTGTAGCGCGTGATTTTGCCATGTCATTACGTACGCGTCTGTACACACGGTTAGGTTCCGCTAGATTTATCAGTCGACGGACAGCACGTATTTAAGTATGGCGTACTACTTGCTAATTGCCCTCATGGGTTATGCACATCGTAGCGCATGGGAACGCTCGTGTTTGCCAATCAGTGCCTGAGGGTTCGATCGCATTGCCTCTTAAACGTGTTCCCTTACAATCGAAACGTTTTCATGCGGACAAGCGTAGAGATGTTGTTGCATTAACCGTAGTAATTATCTCCCATGACGCAAGCTGTCTCTTATTTGCACAGCGCGGCCACGGCTAATTATAGAGGCCGGCAATTACTCGCATTTTAAAAGTGCTACTCGTACGCGAAGCCTTCGGCCGAAGTCTGTTTCCGCATTAAGCAGGCTGCCATTAGGAAACACGCCAATTTTATACAGACGAAGAAGTTATTTAAGCAGCATTATCGTCAACATCTACGAGCAGTGGTTACAGAATTGCACGCATAATTGGATATCAGTCTCGCGAAAATTGAGCTTCGCGGTTGCGCGGACATGCAGTCTGTTTGTAATCTATCAGACCCGACCATCGGCTGTAAGCGCACTGCATGCGTACACATCGCATCCGTATTGGACTGCATGGCTTCCTCATCGATTGACAGTGGAAATATGTATACTTGCCCCCCACGAACATGCACGCGTACACTGTGGTCAGGGGATACAAGGGCCGGCTAGGCTATAGGCATACTAACACATTTATGTCGTCGGCACTCGTCGGTAAAATCCATTGTTATGGCAGATGGCTTTAGTTTCTATTGCCAATAACCTCCTTTCGGAATTGAAAACGACGCGGATTTTTATTTAATCCCTTTGCCATCGTTTTTGATTTCTACGGCGATATGCGATACTTAGACGTTAAAACTGCAAATCGTCAAATGACAATTGAGTTAGCGATGGGGACATGTGTCAACTACCTGGCATAGTTCCAGACGACGGCTTGGGCAGGTCCTTGGCTTTGATGACAGTTACCGTGAGTCGTTCAGCTAGTGGCTCCAACCTGAGCGACAGCTGAATCTGACCATGAGCCTAATAAATACAGATATAAGGGTTAACGATAATAATAATAATTACTGTTATGATATATATCGAGATGCGCGGTATTTTCGATGATATTAAAACGTATAAGAAGTAGAGAAAAAAACAATAAAAAGAAGAATAACAACAACTACAACAACAAACAACAAACAACAAACAACAACAACAACAACGACGATGACAACAACAACAATACAACAACAACAACAACAACAACAACAACAACAACAACAACAACAACAACAGGACAAAGAAGAAACAACTACGACCATTAAAAAATTATTCCTATTATCTTAAATAACAGATGCCAAAAAACGCATAAACTATAACATGCAGTGACGTACACCGACGTTAAAATAAAATGAAAGGTTTTATTATTAAATCGAAGACCAAATTTCTGTTCTCAATTACGTCCGGTTTCTGATATATATATATATATATATATATATATATATATATACATGTTTGCGATGAAGGAGCAATCGATAGAAATACAATACCCTACGAGCATGGCTTAGTATAGAGTCTTGTGCATAGCAGACACAAATTTCGACTTTATTCATATTCGTAAAATAGATAGTGATCATTTTCCCTGATAAATGAAATCAAATGCAACTCGGTCATAAATATCTGCAGCTTATTCAGTGGGGTTATGTTCGGGATTCATAGTTGCACTCGTTTGCGGATAAGCATATATGCGCATATATACAACTATTGAATACAACTATTGAATGTATGTATTGCATACATACAACTATTGAATAATACTGCTAAACCAAAGTTGTTCCCATGCAATAACACTGGAGTACAAATATCCTCATCCTCTGCCATGTAGTATACTACATGGCAGAGGATGAGGATATTTGTACTCCAGTGTTATTGCATGGGAACAACTTTGGTTTAGCAGTATTATTCAATAGTTGTATGTATTATAGTTAAAATATTCAATTCTCACAAGAGTCGTGCCATTTGGCTGTGCGCTCGTGGTTTAGAGATAAGTGCAATCACAATTTCATTAATATAAGTATGCATCACATATATATAACATGTTGTGAAATTTTGTTTAATGATTTTGTGGCGGTCGTGAAATCCAACTCTTATAGTAACGCCGCTATGTCAACTCGCTTAGATCAAAATTTAAATATGCGCGTGTGTATATATGTGCTCTACTCTCATGGGAGCTAGTAGAGTGCATGTGGAATTTAAAATTATCAAAGTCAAGTCACGTGGCAATACGTCACCAATTCGCTTAGATTTTTCTCCCCGGATTGATATAACGAGCAAAACGGGCGAAAAAAGCAATGTAATAACACGAAAGCGATATATATCCTCGAACTACGCACGTTGAGTATGCCGTAATGGTCTAACCCGATAGAAATTACCTCGTCGATTACATTCGCTGCGCGACTTGTTTAATCTGTCCCGCTCCATGTAATTTATTGCCATCAGGGTCGATTGAACCAAGAACACCGGCATGTCGGCAGCATTGAGATATGCATATAAAATTACAGGTCGTACTCTTTGCGAGTTTACATATACACTTACGTCCGGTGGCTTGTAAAGTAATTCATCATTTGTGAATATGTTTTATATATTTACGCATCCATTGCACTTTTTTGCGAATGCGTATATATTTGTACTGTATATTTGCGTTAAACCAACGCGTAAATATTGTACAGCGCAGTCAGATTCTGTTGATTCTACCCTCAGACATTTATCCTTATATCGGCTCAACTTGCCTCAGTCCTATAATTTTCCTGTCCCTTTGCCGCGCACTTTATTCATAATATCAACAGAAAAGTATGGCGAGACCGGTTCTCTAATGTAGATCAATAGTACTGTCAAATGTTGGTGCGACACCCTAGTCTGAGCTAATCGCTAAGGGAAGGGGGGGGGTACAGGAACAGGGTTTCACATCCCCACGTGCGGTGAGATTAGGCTGAAAGGATCCATTTTGTTATATTATATATATTTTTTTAATATTTTTGGGTTATTTACATTTATCAGACATTTTTCCAAAACCAGCTTCCCCCTCTCCCCCCCCCACCCGGGGACGAATATGTAACGACAAACAAAAGTCGTGTGACTGGGCTGGCGAAAAAAGTAACAGGCAATGTCTCCGCTGTGTTGTTGAAAAATAGGCTGCATTATCTTTTTCAAACAGGAAATAACATTTTTGAGTTTCTGAATTAGCAATTAGGCCTACTTCCGCTAACACGTTAGAAAATATTACAACACATGCCTGTAATGTAAATGAAAGTGTCAATGACAATGTAGCTCACCACAAAAAAGGACACAAATGAGTGAGTAAGAAGAATTCAGTTTTAATTGAGCAACCATCGACGTACATTATAGAAACGATTGCCATCTGTATATCGCAATAATA